CTCACCTCTCTAGCTTCAACAGCACAAAGTCTGCTTCGACTATCAAGGCACCCCGGAAATAATAGCGAGTCACAAGAGAGTGACAAACATACAAAAGAAGTAGAGGAAAATAAAGATAGTAAGGATCAGAAACAAAAAAGCAGCAGTTCTTCCGATGTTGTTCCGGCACAGTATGAGCATGTCATTGATGAATCAGCCCATTTACAATTCTACCGTGCATAAGAACACATAAATGTCCCCCCTTTGGGAATGGCCTACAGACATCTTCAGTCAATCCAGCACCGCCCTGGGGGGTAACAGTGTCATGAGTGAACATCAACAGCTCACACCTAATTGGCCAACTACGTTGTAATGCCTCAAGGTCATAACGTGACCCTCTGGTCAATAAATAAACAACTTCCGTTACGACTCATTCTCACAGAGGTCTTGTGTTTGTTTGTGAGCACGGTTCGTAATTATTCGTCAAGCTAGAAACATAACCAGAACGCAACACACGCTACAACATCTGCTCAATACTCATCAATTAAAGCTCAGACAAAATGCAAGCTGACATCCCTTTTTAAGTTTTAAGTTTCAGTCAGTGTTTTACGGCACTTGCAACACAATAAGGTCATATAAGTGCCGAAGATTTGAGGTGTCACAGAGAGTAACAAAAACAAAAAAGAAGGAAGGAAAGGCGACAAAGACGATAGATGTTTGATGAGAAAGAAAAAGCAACAGCAAACCACACCAGAGCACCCGCCAACCACCCACTGACATCCCTTCAATTTCAAAATGCAATATAATATAAACACATCATCACACTTATCAACAAAAAAAAAAGAACATTTTGGCCCGCTATAATTAAGGTAAAAAGTCAGTATCACAAAACTGGAAAATATGACGCGACCTCTGTGCTTTTTTGTTGCATCTCCATTTTTTTTAAACAGTGAAAATGGGACTTCTTTTTAAAACTCACTCTATGTTATGAACTGTTTTTACTGTTAATAAAAATGGAGATACGACAAGAAAGCACTGAGGTCGCAACAAGATACAAGATTATTTACTCAACCACTGCAAAGTAACACGAAAAAATCAGAACTTATCAATGTAAAAATACCTTCGAACGAGACAAAAGACCGTCTCTTGCCCTTGAGCCTCGACTCAGTGAACCGTAAGTGAAGTCTTGTGCTACCTGTTGCTGCTGCCTAAACTGAACAGTTTTTGCTGTTTTTCAAAAATATTTTTAAAATTATGATTATCAAAAATGAAATGGTATAGGTGAAATGGTACAAGTTTAATGCCTCTATCAACACTGTTGGGTTATTCAAGAAGAAGCAGGACCTCCTCTGAGTTTAACGGCCATCTCTGAAACGGCCGACCCAATCGAGAAATTCGTGTAAAGTGCCTTTCCCAAGGGCACAACGTCTGACCGAGCTGAGGCTCGAACCCTCGACCCCGCAATCTCTCGATTACGAGTCCGGTAGCCTAACCACAAGGCTACCGACGCCACTGATTATAAAAAAAATAATATTTTAAAATAAATAAATAAATGAAATAGAAATAACCACGAAATTTAATGAAAAAATCATTTCCATAAAGTAATTGTGACATGCTACCAAACTTGAACACAGCACATGACAGTCTTTCAGATAGAAAAACAAAAATTGGTCTAAAATGAAAAAGAAAAAAATTGCTTGAAAAGCACCAAAAAATCACAAAAATCAATAAATCATTTAAAAGTAACAAAAGGCAAGATCTCGGAGTTCGAACGACACGGAAATATCAGGAACATCGTCCGCATCACTTTTATAACTTGAATCACGTTCAAAATCCTCATCTGTGGTTTTCCACGAACCATTTCCAAACCAACAAAGTTCCTGAGGCGTGCACTGCGCATCGAACGGGTACCCATTACGCAGCTGCCTGACTTCCTGAGAGCATGTCCAATCCACTGGCTGTCTGACCACCCGCTGTTTGACCAGTGAGACAAGTTGACTGCTGGACACTCAAAAGTTCCGCTGATAGCCAGGAAATTGAGAGTGACCACTTGAGCTTTGTGTCCCGGCACCATCAGGGATATTGGGAAGGGAGGGCCATTTCTGTTTCATGCGCAGTTCCAGTTTGTACTGCAGCTTGCCATTCTCATCTTTCAGGTTCTCAATCTGTCAAGGATACATTGATGACTGATGATGTTTATCAGTGGTAGACAATGGTCATGTATACATTGTCAGACAATGTTTTAAAAAAGGGGAGGGGGGAACAAGGTGGTGGG